AAATAATTTTGAAATACGTGATAACAAATATTTAAAGCATTATTATGAAAAAATTACACTATTTCAAGATTATTTTAGATCATAGATTAATTTATATATTAGTATAACTATATTTTGAATTAAAAACATAAAATAAAAAATTTTTTATTTGAATTAATTTTATTTTAATCTAATAGACAAAAATATTTATCATAAGATTGGTAGTTATCAAATATTAATATGTACTATAATTGAAGGTATATGTCTATAGGATCAATTAAAGAACTTGAATTTTTTTCTTTTTTTAAAAAGATTTAAGTTATATAAAATAAGAATATAAATCAATTTTTTAGATGAAACTATATATTTCAATCGTAAAGGTTATTTGTTAGTTAAGGTGCACTATGCTTTCTCGAAACTATTTATGTATGTCAATAATTATAAGAAAATTAAAATAAGATTTCGTAAATTGATAAATTTCTGAACTAAATTCAAATACTAAATAGATAAATTTATATTGTAATTTGTTCTCATAATATGTTTTCATTTATTATTATAGTTAAGAAATCGCAGTTACAACTCGCCTGTTAACGATAATTCTTGTAAAATTATTACATATATATATATATATATATATATATATATATATATATATGTATATATAATATGAAAGTTTAGATATTATATTTATAAGCAAAACATTTAAAAACATTGTAAAATATCGATATATGTATTAAATTGTAAAAACAAAATAATTTAAATTTAAATAAAAAATTATTATAGAAAAGAAGTCACTAAAACTACTAGTAACAGAATGTAGAATAACGAGGAAAATAGATTAACAAAATAAACTATTAAAAAGGTTAAAAAAAATATAATTACAATTCATATACGGAAATTTTTAAATAAGAAAAGAAATATATAATATGTACTATACAAATTTAATAACGAAACTAACATATTACACACACAAAATTATTATCTTATAAAAAATTCAAAATACTGAAGATTTTATTGCTTACAGGAAATAAATAATAAAATTAAAATTGTACCACAATTGATTAATATATGAAATAGGTATAAATATTTATCTATAGTATGAATGAATATTTTTTGAAAATTCATTATTTATTTAAATATATATTACAGCAAAGAAAAACGTTTATAAATATAAAAAAAATTATAAATACAAAGTAAGGAATTTAAAATAAAAAAAAATATAATAAAATAGTGTTTATTTTTATCCAAGTTAGAAAAAATAAAGGAAAATAAACAAAATGTTCAAAAAGATGATTTTTAATACCTAATGTATTTTTTGAATGATCAAAATTAATAAAAAAAAAAAAATTCAAATAATTTTAGAAAATAATAAACACAGCATTTTTATTAAGGATTAATATTTACAAAATGAAATGTGAAAATAAATTATGAAATAATGATCACTAACTTGCCCATAAATCTTTTTAACGAAGTTATTCGAATATTTATTTGTCTTTTGGTCATCTGTTTATTCATTTTTCATTTGATATTAATCAATTTATGATATGAAAAATAGTTTAAAATCGATAAGTTATTCTAAATAAAATTATCTGAATTAGAAGAATATTTTTCAATTATTTTTCAGTCAAAAGATTATTTATTATTTTTATATATTTAATAATTGTATAAACTAAAATAGTGGCAATTTAAACTTAAGATTTTTATTCTGTTGATAGAAAGTAGTTTTCAATCTTAAAATGAAATTGGTATTAAAATTCACTGTTCATTATTTTATAGATTTAATACTTTACCATAAATGTATACGTTTCATGACTTCATTACCTTCACCATTGAAAATATTGTTTAGAGTAAATATAACTCTATATTATCTGAAATATAACTGTATTGACTTTACCAAAAAGTATGCAAATAATTATATTACTTAAAGAATATCAAAAATACAATTTAATTTAAATATTTATTTTCAAATTGATTTATATTGTTTAACCACTTAAATATTAAACTTGATATTAAATAAAAGTTTATATAACTTTATATTCATTTATATTACTAAAATAAACATGTTACTTCAAATTCGAGAACATAATTTAGTTGAATATAATTAATATTAGAAAAAACTTTACTGGAATATTTTATATACCTTAATTCATTACATAAATATGAATGAAAATAAAAATGTATTGGGGAATTTTAATTAAAAAATAAAAATAACGATTGTAATATAATTCAGTAACTTAAAAAGATAATATTCAATTTATTCTATAATAAAGATATCCTCAAATAATTTTTAAATTGTATCATAATTTTAGATTTTCAAAAGTATTATTATTACTTTCATTCTATCGAATATTATATAGTAGTACTAAGTTAAATATTTATAAATATATTTAGGTTTTTATCAATTTTAGAATAATTTTCATTTATAATTAAAAATATGCTATTTATATAAAAATATTAGAAAAAAACTTTATAAATATGACAAAATATTTATATAATTAATTTTTAAGTTTTAATTCATAATTAAAAGATTGTAGGCTATGTCTTATAAATAATCAATCCGGTACAATAAACCAAAATTAATAAAGATAAAAATGTAACTATAGTCATTGATACTATGGTTATAATGGTACTATTATTTTTTTTATGGTACAAATATATTAAATAATAAATAATAAGTGATAAGCAACCAACTAGATATTATGAAGATTCACTGAAACGTTTGTCAACAGAATTTTATTGTCTACAGTAACATTATAGTTACTTTAAAACTGTTATGACTTCTTTCATTTTAATTACGTATTAAAAACATTTAAAAAATTTATATGAAAAAGTATTAATATCTTGTAATATAACATAAACAGATATTGTATTTTGAGTTTTAAAAATTTTTATATTTTTAATTCTTTTAAATAATTTTTATTTAAATGAAGCTGACTGTACACTTAACATTCCATAAATTAAAAAAATTGTATTTTTTACATTTTCAGAGATTTTTTGTTCATTATCAATTATTTTAATTCATTCATGTAAGTTAAAAGGGTAAAATAAAAAAAATGGTAGGTTATAACAATGTAATTTGCCAATAAGAGAAAATATCACAGTTTTGAACTTATACAATATGTAATCTAATTATCTTAAAGTTACAGACAATGTTTAAATATTGAACATGAAACTAATTAATAAGGTAAAAATCTTTAAATTTATTCATTAATAAATTGTTATTTAAAAAATTTCACACATTTCAACGTTGCTAAATTTATTTATTAATTTGCAAAATGTATTTAAAAATTATTACTATGTAATAATAAAGTGCTGATTTATGACAAATTTAAATGCTGGATATTTATCAGTGTCATAATGAATCCTTGTGTAATATTTAATTAAAACGTAAAATATATCAATAATACTTTTGTTTTAAAATTTTGTATAAACTTTTATTAAATTCCCTGTCCAATAACAAAAGATTATATCTCGTTATATTTAATAAACTTATTAGACTTATATCAAATATTTGATTGTAAATAATGGAAAGATAAGTAGTATATATACATAACTGTACATCTATGTCTCCCTATTTTTAGTTTTATGAAACTCTATATTATAAATTACATAATTATGCATACATACTTTATGCACTTATATATATATATATATATATATATATATATATATATATATATATATAAGATATAAATTTAATTGCATATTATTATTAAGACAGTTGATATGTTAAGAAATATATTGTAATATATTTAAAATATAGTGATCACGTAACTATAAACTAAAATAAGTTAAAATTGTATTACTAGTTGTTACAAATATTATAAACTGTTACAAATTATTTGACATTTTAAATACATGTTTCAATTTTCAAATAATTTAAAAAATAACAAAAAATTGTATAATATAATAAACATTTAATCACAATTATTAATTTATGAAATCTTTAAAAAATCTTCAAATTATCTTTAATAATTTCTCTATCTTTCAACGTCTCTTTAAATACATATGTATTAACTTTATTAGGTAATTGTACTGATTTTAACAGAAATTTGTTTATTTTCATCTTTCTTGATTCAATGTAACTTTATGGAATAATTAAAATAATTTTTTGAGAATCATCAAAATTTTTAATTAAATTTAATCTCAATCTATAATGTAGATTATATTAGTAATTTATTTAATTAAATTATTTCAAATAATGTCATACTTAATTAAATAAATGAATATTATTCAATTATAATTCAAATAAATTTATTTTGAAGATTTTTTTTGTTTTTTTTTTCAAATTGTCCCATTATTTTAATTTCCTATTAAATTAAAAGAAAATTTGTCTACCGAATCAATTCCATTTTCTCAGAATTAATTATATATATTTATCTTATAAAATTATTTTGTAGCAATTTATGTAATTAATTTGTTTATAATAATGCATTAATCACGAATGCCAGCTTTGATATAATAATTTACTTATTATTATATTATAATTATATTTTTTAATATATTATACAGACAATTAATCAATCATATAAATCCATATTAATATAATTAATTAATAACAATTAATGTAACTCTAAGTAGTAAAGTATTTTGTTTTCATCTAATATTTATAATTTACAAAATTATTTTTAATGATTCTTTTAGAGTATTCGATTTGCAAATACATCAGAAATATACAAATTTGTCTTACTATTAATCAATATATTTATTATTGCATATGTAATACATACATACATACATATACACACGCGCGCGCGCGCCAATATATATAAAGCTAAAAAGCATTAAAAGTTAAAAATTTGTTTAAAAATTATTACGTAATTTTGTTTTGTTTTGTGTAATTTATATATTTAGCAAGTTATAAGTTTGAGTCAATAAGCAATTTAAAAAATATGTTTAACATATTTGGGCAGTAGCCAAAGTTTATTTTCAAAAAAGGATTAATGAATTATTTGAGTATATTGCAAAATTATATAGTCAAAATAAAAAGTAAAAATACAAAAATGCAAATGCATGTATGGCTTTAGTTAAGGCAGTAATAAATCTTATACAACTTTAAAAAAATCTTTATTCAAATTTGACGTCCTTTCAATGCATGTACCAACAAAATTGCGCGAGAGCAATCTTTGATTACCTCTCACATCTAGAAAGGCACCTTTCATACCTTACAACATAACATACGCACTTATACCATTGATATACTAAATAAAAGTACTATAAACATTACAGATTTCGATTGTAATTTATATACAGCTTTAATGAGTAGGGCAAGGGCAGTTGATGTATTTTTTCCTTCATATATGAAGAGAAAGCATTTGTATCTACGTAGTGTCCTGTATACGGATTGTCGCTGGGATTAAGATTTCTAAGAGGATTTCGTTTGAAATTCGATTCATTGGCACGGTTGCTGTTATTATTATTGTTATACATCGACGATCGATTTTCGTTAGTAGAGTTACTACGTTTATGTTTAACAGGAGTACCATTTGCAAAGTCCGAGTCCGAACTCAAACTTTCTTCATCATTACCAGCATTAGACACATCATCGAGTATACCACTATCAGCTTTTTCTTTACGGCTTCCATTTTTGCGATGCATAAATGATGACTGTTGCTGTAACGTTGAGCGACAGGTAACATATGCATTATGCTCATTATCAACATCTTGATCACTTTCACTTTCACTCATGTTAGAATACGCTGAGATATCTAAAATTCACAAATGTATAAGTTTCTTGTGTATTAAAATATAATAACATTTATAGAAAACATTTTGTAAATATAGAAAAAATTTGACAGCATTCCTACCGTATTTCTATCTAAATATTTGGTAAAATAAAAATTTATATTTACTAGTTGTTAGGCCTCGGTTTCCATGAAAGTCACTATTATTCTTTTGACTGTGGCTCTCTGACTGTGATTTTTCGCAAGCAGAATCCGAGCTACTCTCTGAATCTTGCCTTTCACTATTTGGATTTGTGTCAAATTGTGTATCATCTTCGACACTGGGTGATTCGTCTTCATCATTCATCCAGTTAATATCTTGATACGAGTTTTCGGTTGCATTGGGCTCCCCGTTGCGATTCGGTTGATTAACCGCTCGTACAATCTGTAGAGTTGTCCGAAGATCTTCACCGGGTGGGCCATCGACGTTTAACAAAAGCTGAGTCCTGTGCACTCGTGCCACTTCATCCTCGTTTAACGTATTATCATCGGATTCTTCATATATAGGAATAACAAATTGGTGGAGAGCTCTATGTGGCGAGCTAGGCTGATGTCGTTCTGATAGAATGGGCTTATGCGTTTCTAGATCCGTATGCTCGAACCAGACATTGTGTCGTAATCGATGCCGAATCTTACCACGACATAATTCTTGCAGAGATAACGGATCACATTCAGCTAGAGTAAAATTGAGATTATTAATAACTTCACCATTCCGTTGAACCATTATAATATTAGATATACAAGGTCAATTAGAAAACATTCAAATTGAACACCATATAAATTGAAATATTCAATACCATATGGAACACCAAATGAAGTTTCAATTGTCTTAATTTTTTTATGATCAATGTTCATATCGACTTTCTTTTAACGAATGAGGTAACCACTATAATATTGTTAACTAAAAAAATTTGTAGGAAAAATTTTTTAACAAAAACTTATATTTGATATTAAATTTTTTTATATAAAAGCAATTAAAGTAATTAAAAACTGTTGATATTTGATTAACATTGAAATTTAATATTTTATCATATATACTGTATTATGTATATATATACATAAATATTATGTTGAACTGTAATAATATTTGGATACAATTATTATTTACAAATAGTTTACAAACTAAATCTACAAATACAAACTTATTTTTTAAATATTAATTTACATTAATTTAAAAAATTATATAACATTTTACAATATACATTTAAAGTTATACTTAACAATATTTTAGATTTTATTTTACCTGTTTAATTTTAATATCAAATATTTATATTAAATTACTTATATTATTGAACACACTTTTATTTTAATAGTATGACATATATATGTAGAATATTTATTTCCATATATATTTATTTATTTTATTCTTTATATATATTTATTTATCAAATTGAAAAAGTCAAACTCAAACAAATTTTATAAAAGCAGAATATTTCTTAATAGATCTCAAAGTTTTATCCTTCATTAAAGGAAATAAATCTTTAATTTTGTAAAATAAGAATGAAGCTCTTAAAAAATTCTATATTAATATTTGTATGATTACAAAATAAAAAATTTTAAATATTGAATTTTTTATAAATTTTAAAGTATGTTAACCTGAAACATACCACATTAGACAAAATGTCGATTTAACATCGACAGATATATTACTATGATTATTTTGGCATTTTTTTAGATATTTCATAAGCTGAAAGATGTAATAATAAAAGTAATTATGAAAATTATAAAACAGACAGTGAACATGGCAGAGGGAATTCACATTAGAAGAACATGATTTAAAAAATGGATTAAAAATTATTTAAAATTTTTAATTGTTTCTTAAAATCAAGTAACATTAAAAAATTTCTGATATTATTAAATTATATTTGAACCAGTATATTGTATATTTTCGCAGTAATTCTACTGTCAAGAATTTTCACAAAAAAAACAACATATTTGTATCATACATAATAATTTAAAATAATTTTTATTATTTAATGTCTTTAAATTAATTTATGATTTAATCAATATGTATAAATTTTTTAAAATTATTTTAATTAACTTTATATAACTTACGTAAATGGTTGATTAATTCAGATGAACTAGGTATTATTAAATTGGCAAAAGATACTGGTAGTATAGTTTCATGTTCCCAAGTAGTTTCATTAATTTTTTTAGCTTTCACTAAATTATCTTTATAAGGCATTATTAAAATACCACCAACTTTAACAAACTGCTTCACCAATATTTCATGAGTCTCCGGACATGTGGCACCACAATAAACTCTATCATATTGTCTTCCTGGTACTATACTTAAACAATTCCCTGAAAAAATATAAATATAAAAAATAATTATACAATATACTTATATATTATGCTACTTTAATATATACCTTGAATAAAAATTGGTTCACAAAAATCAAATTCATCTAAAGCAAGAGACTTTTGTTTGAATTCATCCAATCTATCGTAAGAGTATCTAACGCAATCTTCATGTAGTTCAATACCATGATTTGTACCACTTTGACCTATTACAATATTATCATAAATATATATTATTACAAATTATATCTAGTAATTATAGAATATATAATAAAAATGTTACCCTAATTATTCGTTTCAATTCGATTATTGATTTAATACAAGAAACAATAGACAATATTTTTTTATATCAGAATTTATATTTAATGTTTAAATTTTTGAATATATATAAAAATATACTTGCTTAACAATAATCCTGCCATTGTATTTAGATAACCAGTTCCAGAGCCAAGATTTAAAAAGCTTAAGCCAGGTTTTAACGCTAACTCTTCCATAATTTCACAGTATATACATGGTGCTGATAAGTGTATATTACCATGTTTCCAAGCAAAATCTTTATATGCATTATCTCTGTGTGAAGAAAGAAAATAATCACCCCTATCAACAGCTCTGAAGACTTGTTCAATTTTTTTTGATCTAATATAGCCTGAATCAACAAGATTGTCAACAAGTTCATCATTATCTTGTCCATTACTGAATGTAGCACCCATTTTCAATTAAGTATATGACTGATCTATATTCCACAAAATAATATAACACAAATTAATATTCAATTGAGTTCATCTTCATAATTTGATAATTCATTAACCGAGTGTCCTGATAGAGAGAGTATCCATATCTAAAAAAACGATGAAAAATTTAAATCCATAAAAAATTAAATGAAATAATTAATTAAATTAAATAATTACTTTATTTTCATTGAAAATAAAATTTATCTTGTATAAAAAATAAATTAGATTAATATTTAGATTATCTAACTAGTTAATGCAAACTTTCAAGTAATTTATCTATGTCGAATTTTCTTCAAATATTTATATCATACTTAATTGGGATTGATAATTAAATAATACATGTAGCTCTTGGAAACTATTCATATAATTATTTTTATATATAAATGAATACATTATATTAAAATTTTTAATTCGTATATAATAATTAATAAAATCAAAAGATTATGATGAATTAATAATATTAACATATTAACCCAACATTTACTACAGTGTCTGAATATAAACGATTTGTTATTGCTACGTCAGACGCGCCACTTGACTATCGTATGTGTATGAAAGAAAATCAAAAACATTATGGTAGAGCTGTTGGTGCGAAATATATTATCCGTATGTCATATATATTGCATACATTAATTTAAAATCACTTTTTTGATATCTTATATAAATTCTAATCAACGAAGTTAATCGTTATATACATACATACACATTCATATATATATATATAATACAATAAGAAACAAAACGTTTTAAATGACCTACAGTAACTTGCTAATTGATAACGAAACCCACTAATAATAGTTTCACACGTTTATAATCTAATCCCTATTAGTAGAATTATTTTAGAAAATTATTGAAATAAAAATCATGAAAATGGTGTTATATATTGCATTGAATTGGATTCTTATTTGAAGATATTATCACGTGTACTTTATCATTTGTTTTCATATAAAATAATCTAATTAGTCAAAACGATTTGTTGAATCTTTGCAAAAATTGCATTTTATTGTTCAGTGATACTTTAACAAAATTCATTGTACATTTAGTATAACTAAAAAATAATTTTGTGAATACCATTTTTTAAATTTATTTGTTTAAAATTTTGTTGTAATAACAATTTATATTGTAATAAAATGTGTTAACATTTAGTAAAATATAAAATTGATTATCAAATTTTTGACTATCGTTTTCGATATTGTTCAATCTGACTTTATATGGAAACATAATAAATGCATACATATATCATATCAGCTGATAATGACAGATTCAGAATCAGTTCTAATATACTTTATTTATTCTTGCATAAACTATCACCATAAACACTCAACATATATTTGTCTTTTACAAGCGCAACCCTTCTTTCACTGTTTCACTTGACATATTTGTTTTATTTATTCCTACACAACCACGAACGAATATGCATTACACTAGAGTAGAGTTCTGCTCTGCTTTCTGTTTTCATCTAAAATCTAATTAACTATAGAAATTATCTCTCTTACGCGCAGTCTCAATATTTATAGGTTACGTTGTACAGTTTTCTCTTAGATTCACGGGAATTTTTTGTACCTTTTCTTTTTACCAGTAACGCTTCCAAGCTTTACAAAATCGAATGTAGATTTTAGTAAATTTAAATATAATGTTTGATAATTAATTATAATAATAATTAGATACTATAAATTTGTTTAGAATCTATAATTAAAAAGTTGGGGGAAAATATTATATATATGTTTAAATTCTTAAAAGATATTTATGTATAATTGGTACATTTTATTTTTAAAATGTTATGTTATCAAAAATAAAAAAAGAAATATATATATATATATATATATATATATATATATATATATACACATAAAATTTTCTATCCTATTAAAAGCTGCTATTTGTGAGATTTAATTATTTTTATAATAATTATTTAAACTACCTTTTTAAAATGCAAAAATAAGTAAAATAATGATCAACCAAAAAAATTAAAGATAATATATTCCCAAATCAACGTGAAAGATATATACTTATGAATTTAATGAAATTAAAATAATACTAAAAAGAGTATTACAAAATATTTATTCATAACTAATCATTAAACCCGTATCAAAGTAATGCTTGACTACTAATTGATAAACTGGTTTTATAATTTTCTAATTAAGAATTTTAAATATGTAAAATATAAGCATTATAATTAGAATTGATTTAAATTTTTAAACAATTTGATAATGATACTATATTTAAAAATTTGAATATATATTAAAATTTCTATGCTTAGTTATATTTCCATAATTTATTAACTATTTAATAAATTAATAATTAATTGTTATAATAAATTATATGAAAAGTTTTTAATAAGATTCATGTTCTATGCAAACTTTTTTTAAATTTTATGAATTACATCGAATATTAAATATTTTTTTGTATTTAGTATAATTAGAAATATCTAGGCATATATTTAAAAATATTTTTATAATTATATAATCTCTAAAAATTATAATCTTAAATTATTTATTGCCAAATTTCTAGAATTATATCCATAATATATTTTATATCGAAGTCCATAAATAATAAAATTTATAAAATGCATAATAAGAAACTTTAACATTTATATTGTTCCTATTTCTAATATAATTATGTTATTATCTTGTTTTTAAAAGTTTCTATTTGTTAAAGTATTGATATAGACATAATAAATACAAATTTTTATTATTCTTAAATTGTGATTACTTTTGTTCCTTACTTTAGTTATAAATATTAGGTAAACTTATTTTACGATTAATCTAATTTAAGATCTCGAAAATAAAATCATTTTTTAATAGTGAAAATATAGTATAGTAATTTTTATAATACGATTATAAGTATATTAAATGAAGCTTTTCTATTTAATACTAAATAAAAACCAAAAATGGTTTCAACTCCATATTAATTTTTAAATTTAAAACTTGGCGCTTGAGGTATGTGTGCAAATCTTTATGCGCGATTCCGTTTAAATATGAAATATACAATTAAACGGTAAAGAAAATTAATGCAATCTTCTGTTCATATATATTAAAATTTTATATCTAAATAAAAAATTACGAATAATAGTATGCTTGCAAGAACAAATGTTTCCCAGTTTTCTAAAATATATTTATTTTTATTTATAAAGATTATAAAGATTAATAAAGCTACGGCGGTATTTATACAAATTATTACAACAGATCGAACTGTTCATTTTTTTATTTGATTTCGACTTTATTACAGTAATGAAAGAGTCGAGAAACTAATTAGATGCGCAGTATACAACACAATGAAATATGTGCCTATGTTATTTTGATACTCTTGTATTTTATTATATAATTATTAGATTATCGTGAAAACTGAAAATATTTTCATATGACTATTGTATGCATTCAATTGTCTTTAATAGAGGAAAACTTATCTTTCGTAAGAATTCGTTAAAATTCATGTTAACTTTACACATGTATCTTTTATTCATATTATTAAAATTAAATTAAGTGGTCAATTTGTATATCGTGAGATACATAGCTTCGATGTTTATTCATATAAACTTACTTTTCACTGAAAATGATAAAGGTGTAAAATAAATTTAATTAAAATTTTCAATATATTGATTATACGATAAGTATTATAATGCATAATCTATTATATAGAAGATAAAATAGCATATTATGTATATACATATATATATCAATGTATACACTTTCAAGATAACATAAAAATGAAAATTATGGTAAAATGAATTTTATTGTTAAATTTAATTTCATTCGCGAATCACAATTATCTCGCTGAACACATTAGTAAATAAGTAATATTACTCTAGGAAAAACTTTTTATTTAAAAAATAATTTTAAGATTTCAAGTATTTAAAATAACAGAATAAATTCTATTATTACAACGATGATAGAAACAAGAACAAATAAGTATTAAATTCATTTGCACTCATGCAATCTTTCCATGCGAGCATACGTAAATGCACGGTTGCGCTCATCGTACGCAGCGGCCAGGGTCGCACGTACGCGCATACCCACATACACTATATATATATATATATATATATATATATATATATAGATTTAGACGACCTACACGCCCGCCCAAATTTTAATTACGTTACGGTAGAATCATAGAAAAATCTTAATCACAAAAAATACTAAGTCATTTAACTAGTTTTTTAAATACAATATTTTGATAGTACATACAAATTTCGTATAATTTTATTATTAATAACTTTAAGCAATTAAGTAAAGCATACACTTTACTCAGGGGAGAGCACGTATATGAATTTAGTATTGTGTTTAAGCGCTAACTTCACACGACTTCAACAAAAATCTCCTGGGGTATAGATGTGATCCCATATTTCATCCTCTTTTACGCACACTACTAAAGCAATTCGAGACATTCTTTAAGCGCATGCGCAATTCGAATTCCTTCAGTAAACGGGCGTGCTTACGTGCGTATGTGTACATTAGTTCACGAATGCACACATATGCGATAAAAAGCTGATGGCGACTGACAACTTTAAAACGTGAGTTCCGTCAGCGGTAGCGAGAGCGTGTAAAATTTACCCTTAAAAGTTGTTAAAAAAAAAAAAACTCTAAACTGAGCGCAAGACATACAGTACTACTTTTTAATATACTCAAGAAATTCATTAGGCAGTGGATTTGTGTTTTTTTTTTTTATATATACAGAGCAGAGCGAGAGTTAAGACGCAAACCGCCGTCTCGGTGCTGCTGCTGCTGCTACTGCTGCTGCTGCGTTTTCCGTCGACTATATGTAGAGAGGCTGCGCAGCGACCGGGTCGCAAATGCCCGGCCTTTTCTTTGCGTTCTTCATTTTTATTGAAAATAAAAGACAGTTTAAAGGGTTGATCGAGCAACTGCTCTTGTGCAAAGGAACACGAGGTTCGTTACGCTCCGCTGAAATTGCAGTAAGTACTTATAAGTATTTATGAAAGGTGTATTGAGAAAATTGAGAATTACTCCAATACTTGAATAATATCAAGAAAATAATATGACTTTTTCTTCAATCAATATTTTACGAAAGTTATTATAAATGAGTTACCGAGCTTATAATGTAGTCGATTAACATAAATAGCTTGCGTTAAATGTTAAATAATAAAACTGTGTAGGTAAATATAAAAAATTGAATGAAATGTTAATAATCGTACGAGAAATGATAGTTATTGCCGCGAATCAACATTAGATAATATTGAGAGTGAAAACTATTTTATATGAAAACTTTCAGAGACTGGTCAATTATTAGAACGTGACTTAAGCCTAGTAACCCTTACACAGTCGCTCATATACTAAACTATATTTTAGTATGTAATGTAAATAAGTTTTAAAATATAAGTTAAATTATTACCTTCGTTAAATTATTAATGAAAAGTTTTATAAACTTTAGTGTGTTTACGAAAATATTTTAAAATAAATATACACATTACGGATGAATTTTAAAGATAGGGTAATTGCTTAAGTTTTCCATTTGAATTTCTTTTTCAAGTGTGTATACGCGCATGCATCCCGCGTGCTGTTAAACTCATTTTCGTAAAAAGGATCTTATGACATTCGCGCGTGTACGTAGATAGGCGGAGTAAAGACTAAAGACGAGGAAGGGGAAATGCGTGTATGCCCTTGTATTGGTGTGCGTCTGACAAAGTACATGGTAGGGGGAAAAGTCGCCGGGACCTGCCAGCGGGCTTTTTTCCGCGATACGTGTACCCACACTGCGATTGCTAGAAAACATAGAATTAAGTTTTTTGTTTTATTATATTCGTTTAAATTAAAAGGATATTCTTCGAAATTTTAAGTAGTGGATTACAATGGTAAGTTATTGTTTGCATATGAAGATTTCTGAATAATGTAACTATTTACACGGCGAAGGAGAAAGGCGCCCAATTAAAGATAACTCCGTAGTTTAACATAAAGTGCATATGATTAGTATTATATGTGTACTTGAAATATAATGAAACAAGTTAGTACCAGAATTTCATTATATATTTTATAATAATTTTACTGTGTATTTTACAAATTACGCTACAATTAATAAATTAAGAAGATATTGCAATTAATTAGTATTGTCTAGTATGAATTTGTGATCTTATTGTATTGTATAACAAATCTCATAATTATGAAAAATAATTGAATTTTGGAGAGAAAGCTAGAAAATATAAAATCTAGAATACATTCGTTTTAATATATACACTGTATGCAAACAGATAGAAAATATCTATTTAATTTTTCACATTGATGTAATTGCTTTGTTCATCAACTTTTAATCGTTATATTATCGATCGATTCTGATTTTATTGCAGCAGCTTCACAGAGCTAATCATTAAATTTAGGATAAGGTTACAGATTTCTATAAACAATTATATTCATTACATATGCATACAGATTTTGGTTCCGTTCACGTAGACTTATGATGACGTCATAAATACTAAGTGGTAGGGATACTCGCAATGCTCATAGGTCAAATCACAATTAATAGAATTTTAATAGTATAATTATTTACTTTTTAATTATCTGTAGAATAATATCAGGTGAACAACAATTATTTTATTTATTCTGTTTATAGTTAATATTTTAGGTTAGAATACAAAGTTCGATTAATTTCATAAGTTAAAATTAAAAAATGTACATTCTACTATATTAATATTTACATTGGAATCTTTAATATTATGTGTATAATAAAATATATCATTTGTATTTTCATCATTTATAATAAAAATGTAAATATAATAACAATTCTTTAAATACTATACTCGATAATGTAAAATTTATTAAATTGTATTAACGAATATTGAGAAAGTATAATTATTTTATAAAAATGTATCTATAATTGCTAATTTATTTATAAGAACTTCATTTTTTAAATATGAAAATGTATAGATAATTTTATAAATCAATACAAAAGAATTAATCAATTTTTTAATAGGATCTATATAAAAAATATTTATACAAAAAAATTTAATTCAATTTAACTGGAAATAAATAACAAAGAGTTTATTTTCATATAATTGTTGTAGTTATATGTATAAGAGAGTCAAGCATGGTTAATCTTATATTTCGATTTATATTATTATTAAAAATTTTCCTAATTTTGTGTATATGAAATAAATTAAATTCAGAGATTGCATAATTATTTAAGTACTTTTCCAATGTAATATAATATATATTCACAAATTTGAGGATAACAATCATTCATGATAAATTTTGTATATACTATTTTTGTTATTAGATAATGAAATGCATTTTTATAGGATTATAAATTATTTATGTTTTAATGTCCTTTTTTTTTAATGATTGCTTAATTAATGTTAACTATTATTCAGATTTAATATATAAATATGATTAATAGTTGAATGTATTGGGATATTATGTAGTTCTTAATTTTATAATATGGTTGTTGATTACAATTCTTACAATAATTAATATTACTCATTACATATTTGATACATTAATATGGTTATTAATTATGTGCATGCTAAGATATTTCTTAAGATTAGATTGTTCATCAAATTTAAAACATTATTTAAATAATTTATATAAAAGGTCTCGATGTAAAATATGTTTTTCATATAAAACACGACAAATTTAATTTCATTATTAAATAAGATAAATTAGGTTAATGATAGAAATGAGAGGAAAACATTATTATATAACATTTTACAAAATTAAATGTTTTTACAAATATTTATTATAATTTTCCACAATCACGTCATATAAACTGACAGGAAAGTCTAATTGAAAAATGAGGTAAAAAGGTGAAAAATTATGTATCAATGTTCAATGATACAAATGTTTAATCATAACACAAAAAATAAAGTTTTAAAACACTTAAATTTGAAGAAGTTAATATAAAAATAATTTGAACATTGTTGGTGGTAAGGTTGGTTAAATAATTTCTCCTCTTGTCTTATAAACTATATCTTATATCTTTTTTATTATATATTTAGCCGCTTAACAGGAAAGAAAAGAAAAGAGGATTGCAATTTTAGTATTCGCGCTTCTTGACCTTGGGAACAATGGGAACCAGCGGTTATGGGAATTGCGATGGTAAGAGCGCGCGCGCGGTACACAAATCGATTGGCGCAAAGAGGGGAAGATTTTGTGTCGTGCCATTGGTTATATGACGTGGAGACGCGAGTTCCTCTGCTAATAGGCGTACTTGGGTTAATTTCTTGTCGTTTCATGTAAACGAAGCCCACCTTAATTCTAGGTTTTTATTGATTTTGTTTTTCAAGACATTTAGCATAATCGAATGACTGTAAATAAATATATTAATAATAGATTGGATTAATTAATATCCCTTTGTTTAATGAATTTTAATGAAAATTAAAAATTTATTATCTGTGAAAATTAATTTTTGTACATGGTGCTTATGAACAAACTTAATTTTATAAGATATATTTTTATTTTATAATTTATTATTCAATGATGAAAATATCTAGAATAATTTTATATTTTAATAAAACTTTTTTACGTAATATTGAGTATCTGTTATTGTACAAATTTTGCATTACATTTAAAATAATTTTTGAAAAATTTCTGAATTTCTGAATAAAAACAATATTATAATGCTTATTATCCTGTAAATGTATATTAAATAGAAAATATCTCTCGTAAATTAACAAGTAATTTATAAATTTAAATGAATTAAAAATTATCAACTATATGGATATTTATAAGAGGTTTTTTTTTTATTATATTATATGAATTTTGAAGAAGATAAGCTTAAGAGATAGTAATCAGAGCTTAAATATAATTTATCTCTTTATTTACTCATTTACTTATTTATTTACTCTTTGTTAAATATAAATATACTTTAAAAATTTTAACATTTACAATGATTGAATTATATATATATATAATTTGTCTTTAAGATGAAAAATTTTATTTTTAGTATAATATTTATATAAAAAAAATCTAATCTCAAAATTTTGACAAATTAAGAATATTTCGTTATATTCATAAAATATGTTAAAATTAAATTATATACTCAAAGATACGTACCATATTGTTTTTTACGTAAATATTTTTAATTCCTTAAATCTTATGTAACAAACATGGGTAAAATATAGTATTAATTTTATTTTCTTAATTACACAGCAACATACACTCAAAGATATAATTTTATCATAATCATTATATTGTTTAATGAAAGATTTAAAAATGATTTTATTTATTTATTTACAGATTATAAATACGAATTAATTATCCTTATATTTGACCAAAATTAAAAGTTAGAAAATATGTAAGACCGATGCTTGTTTTAAACGAAAAATACATAAAATAATCATTTATATGTGTTTAATAATTTTGGTAAAATCCATCTTTAATCAATTTATGAAATTATTGTCTTTGGTTAATATATAATTAATTATATAAAAACCATTGACAAATGAATGTACAAAATATATATTTGTAAAAACTTACAATTATTTCTGTCGATAAAAAACTAATGGTAGGAAGAGCTAATTAAAATAATATAACGTTTGTTATTTAGTTAAATTATGTCAGTTTATCATATTATTTTATAATATATTTATTATCTTATATTTTTAACAAATTTTAAAAATTGCTACAAAAAAAAATGACTTTCTAATTTGTAATATTTTAAAGCATCGTAATATGTAGAAATATAATTAAACTGTTGGTATATTGTTCATTAAATTTAATATTGAATTTCCTTATTAATTTATAAATGTAACTTATTGTAATATTTTGTTTTCACAAGTAAATACAAATAGAAAGTATTATTTTTTTATACGATATTTTAGTTTTCAAAAATAAGAGTATTTTTATAATTTTAGTCATTGAATTACTTCGTAATTCAGCGCCATCTGTATCAGATTTTGAGCACGAGTATTTGTAAGATAATAAATCTTAGAATTAAGTATCTATTATTACAATCATTTCAATTCTTTTTGTATAACCTACTGTCTATATTCGATTTTAAATTTAAAGAAAATAACTTTTTTTATCAATTATCATTTGGTTAATAATCTTATTAAAATAAGTTTCGTAAAAAAGTTGATTAAAAGATAAGTTTTTAAAAGTAAATTTATTTAGTCAATCAAATGGAAATGATAATAATAAAATGATTAATGAACAAAATCTAATATATTCATGTAGTCATTATTATAAAAATTCTATATAAGCACTTTTTGGTTATTGTACATTCGCATAAAAATCTAATGAAAAAGTAGGTGAAACTTATGTGGGTCAGTATCAATGTTTCATATTGGTAGTAACGGATTAACTAAGAATAATCATTATTGTTTTATATTCTTTGTTTAAAATAAAGAAAGAAATAAATAAAAACTTCGAAATGTTACCGACGGCTTAATAGAATAAATTAACAAGTACAGATGTTAAAACGGATATTGTTGTCCTGTAAATGAACATACAAATTAACTCAGTCAATACATACTTCTATAATCAGTATATGCCTACGTACTATACAAGTACGAGTTCGATAAATGAGTGAAGTGCGCACATGTCGCAGTTTGAACTTGGCGCATTTTCAAATGCAGACATATGAAGTAACAACGCGCGCATAGGCGGCTGCGAACCCTTTCATTAATCGGCAACGCCGCATTTATTTTACCCACACCGATGCTTGTTTCACATATATGTGTAGCGGGCCTTGCGGTTCGGAGTCCGCGCCTAGTCGTGTGTGGTTGCGTGTGGCCCACTTAAAAAACGGCCACCGTTCGTATTATAGTCAATCTTTGTACAGTATATTGAAATCTTGTGCTAATACATTAAGTAACACTTTCAACAAAACTATAAACTTACGAAGATTGCATGAATTTTTGGAGCGTCTCATCCGTGTCTCACCGAAGATGATCGCACGCGCGCATACGTACGAATAAATGAATCGCGTGGTCGTGTCATTATTGTACATGAACTTGTATTTATAGTATATAAAAAGCGAGATATATGCAAATTTTAATTAATTGTTAATACCCCGTATAAATTTAGGCCTACTTGAACGCATTGAGTCGGGATGATCATATGTTATGCCGCGCGCTCCGAATTGAATAATTTAAAATCAGTGTATGTAGTGATCTTTTGGCGGTGACGGAAGGGATGCAAAGGAATCAAGGATTCAAAAATAAGGACTTCGCATATGCACATGTACGGGCGCAGTCATGAAAACTGTATATTCGACTTGAATATGCGACTAGCTGTGAGGGATTTCTATAACTAGCCTGGAAAGAGGTGGGGGTTTGTAAATCCCATGGACGCGGGAAAATTTAAACTGCGCGCTACTTTCTTTAGTATCTTTCCCACTAAGTTACGGAGCATTGCGATTTAAGGGAATTTCCCAAATAGCCATAGTAGATAGATTTGGGAACATTTATTTTACAAATATGAGCATGAAAAGCATTGAAATGATTTTCTATAAAACAACTTTCCATTTTAAATATAAAGTATGTTATTTTTTATTTTAAAGTATTTAAACTATTTTTGAAATTGTTTTCAGATTTAGTTATATTTTAAAATATTATTAATATGTTAATAGATTTAATCAATTAATTGAAGCAATTTTAATTATTATATATAATTTTAATGAATAAAAACTTTTTCTTTTAAAATATTAAGAGGTACTATATGCACTATTCAAATTTATTGAGAAAGAATGAAATGCTCAAGATTGTATAGAGTATGCATATATCAGCTGAGTGAAAGTTACGACTATAAATAAACTATATACAAGTTTGTGGTTGATTTCATGACGATGGTGTATTTATATTCGACCTTGGTATATATTAATGGGACAAAAATTGTAGGCAGGAGTTTGAAGGAGTTTCTTTAAAGAGGAAAGCGTGGACGAGGAAAAGTGTAAGGAGAGCGCGAGCGTGTGCTCCCTTTTCGTTGTTCACGGCTCCACGCGTCGCGTCCAGAATTATCGATTTTGGAGTTCGAACGCGTGGAGGCTGGTTCTCTGGACTCAATAATGGTCTACCAACTGGCAACGCCTGCTTCTAAGCGTCTCCTCATCTTTCGTTTAGCATTTGTAATGAGATACATAAATCACTTAAAATAGAACTTTTTAAAAAGACAATTTCGTCCAAAATGTCATTTTAATTGATAAATTCTTAAAAATGTATTGCAGAATATAAAGTTTTTATTGATTTTGTCAATGTCAACAACGGATTTTTATTCTTAAAACTTGTGTTTAGCTCGCAAAATGTTATCAATATTTATTTATGCAGCACATGTAAATAAGTAGTAATAACAGCAATTTTATACAAAATGTTACCGATTCTTCGATACTGCAAACGAGTGCTTTTCAAGTAAATAAAAGTAAGCGTTCGCTCATCTTATTTATATCAATGATGTCTTCACATTTAAATTTCTTGAATATTGCTAAATTTTTTATTTCGAATACCAAATATTCGATGTTTTATACAAAATTAATCGTGAGTTTTTTTATGAAAAGCTGCATTTTGGGCGGAGTACTCAATGGTAAAGTATGTATATGTATACGACTCTGTGTTATATGCAGCTTTTGCATATATATATATATATATATATATATATATATATTGCGTGTCTCATACATGTGTATACACATGCACAGATGCGTACACGTGCACATATATCCTTATTTAATGCGAATCCCTTTAAGCAATTAATGTGGGCCTCCATTTAATTAAGCTGTAGGGATCTTTTCATACTTTCAATTTTTAATTTTTTTGTTTTTAGAATGGAGGAGATTTTAGTCGACGATGTGAGTGATAAGTGCGCGACGGAGACACCTGCCGCCGTAGTAAGTAGTTGTAGTAGTAGCAGTGCCGCCTCTGCCTCTACCATCGCCGCCGCAGCCGCCGCCGCCACCGCCGTGGACGATCCGTCGAGCCGCGTGATGTCAATGTTGTACATTCAGCAAGGAAAGCTGCACGCGAATCAAGTTAACAACAATAACGCGAGTCAGCCGCTCGTTCACGTCGTCAATAAATCTCAGATCGCCGCCTTCAATCAGGTAAGATTAATACAGCAAATTGAGGGAGCTTGCATTTTACTCGACGCACATACACACATGCGTGCTAATCGCGCGCGCGCAGCAGGGAAATGCAGACTGGTATAGTTGAGGATTGTAAAAAGAGCGTGTCACATACGTACGCACCTTAACGCGCGGAGCGCTATATGTGTGTTGCACTGGTAAAATGGAACTTGCTCGCTTTTGGATAGTTTCGCTCAGCGTTTGCCGAGGTGTAATTTCGTTTTTATTTATGAATAAGTGGTTGGAAGAGAGCATGAAGATTTATCAAAGGGGATGATGTGGAAATATTGCGAAAATCAAGTATACACTGTTATGTAAAGTCATGTAAACATAGTAAGTGTTTTACTTCCTTCTGTTAAAGACCTATTTATTATAATGTTTTTTTTCATATATATAAGTGTGTTATACTTTATGAATTGATGACTTTATTGAATTTGAATACTTTTGTTCAAACTTTCATATAGTATCACATTCGATGATGAGTAATTTATATAATTTAATGTGTCAACTGTAGTGCCTTTTAGTGGATTATCTCAATTATTATTTTCAACTTATATAGTAAAAGAAGATGATGCTGAATACGAGCATGATTATAAAAAAAATTATTTTTTTAAGGTAATACACATTTTTTAACCTAGTTCAAGTTTTATTAATTTAAATAATATAAACGTTTTAGCAATTTTAAACATCAGATAATTAGTATTTTATTTATATAATTTTTAATATAATTATTTATATAATTATAAGTAAATAAATTCTATTCTAAATATATGTGATATACTATTTTAATTTATTTGTGCATTTTGCTATTTTATTACTATTATAAACAGATATTTTTATAAATTTAATTGAAAAATAATTGATTGCATAAAAGAAAATAATATTAATTTCACTCTTCAATTCTTAAATATTTTGTGATTCCTATATATATGACATGTTATATTTTACAGTAATAAACTGATATAATATGAAATTTGTTTTTACATTGTTTTATAAATGATAGGGTACATTCTTAACTTAATTATATTATCAATACATCCAGAACATGAATACTAAATATTATAATAATTATATTATATATTATTTAAAAGTTAAAAATATTGTTTGCTTTATTCATAACATTGTTATAATTTGCAAGTCAATGTTCATTTGTATTTATTAATTTGATTTTTTGTAAATATTAATTTAAAATCATTGTCTTCATCAATTAATATCATTGCCTTAAATTCACTAAACATTATCAGCCCATACGGTGCTTCAATATTTTAAATGAAATGTGGATAATATATAATTCTTGAAATGATTGTTTTTTTTTTATATTGTTTTTTAGTAAATTAAATAGTACAGTGATGTGACAATTTATAAACTTTAATGTTTTTATTAATGTAAATATTAAAAATAGTGGAAGGTATAAGTTTACATTATACAATTTAATATCAAACAATTAGTATTTTATAATTATACTTGTAGAAATTATTACATTACTTTGTTAGAATGCATTGTGAAATATTAAATATGATATATCCTTTTTTTAGATTGTACTTCAAAGTCTTAGCCAGGTTAATCAGACTCAAATACCACAACCTATTACTATTCGTAGACAGGTCAATAGTGGTTTGAGCTCTCCATCTGCAACTCAGACACAGAAGCACATTTTGGTTCGGAAATCTAATGCATCTGGTGCCCAGATAATGCCACTCGGTACTTCACAAGATAGTCAGGCTCATACACAGGCAGGAGGAAAGTCTGGAATAGCTTATCTTGGAACAATTATTAAGCCGAAACCTAGAGAATCTGTTGTTATACCTGCAGGTAACTATTTATAAAAATTAATTATAGCTTTCCATTTTAACAATGTTTTAAAATTTTAACTTTTATTAAGATATAATAATTATGAAAAATTAAAATATAAAATATAAAATAATTAGATTTTATATGCGTATATCTATAATTTTTTTTTGTTTAAACTAAAAAAATTTATTTATTTATCCAATTATAATTATATTTTTCTAAAATTTATCTTATATAATAAATATATAATAAATTATTTGGTAAAAATTATTTAATAACATTTAATATATAATTTATACAAAAGCAGGCCCAGTGAATACAACTCAAATTCCAAAACCAAAATTAGTAATTGCACCAGTTATTTCACATGTCGCTCAGACAAGTAGTACATCCAATAATTTACAAAAGCAATCTTCCAAACATATGACTAACCTCTTGTTGCCTGTGAGTATTCCACAACAGAGTGCTTCTACAACCAAACAAAGCCTCAATTTTAAACCAAACTTTAATTTTAAATTTAACAACGGACAAATCAACACTGATGCTAAAAGCACAATAACAGGTATAGAAATAGTTTTAAAATATATATAATTTTATAATTTTTTACAATTTTAATAAATTAATAATAAACTATATTTTTTAATTTAATATGTTTCCAAACATTTTGTTATATGGATATAGATAGGATTATTGTATTAATGCATAATTTATAATATCTATAAAAAAATTTATGGAAAAATGTTTTTCGTTATATAAATATTAGAATTAATATTAATTAAGACTTTTTTTATAATGTAATGAATATATCTTCTTAAAAAATAATTCTTTTAATTTGATATACTATTTTTAATACGATAACATTGATTTATATATATCTTTATTTCATATTTGTTTATGTATTCAAATTTCATTTTTACTATTCATATACACTGCATTACAAATATATCTTATAATTAACAAATGAATGATTAACCAATAAGATTATGTTTATTAAATACTGCCGCATTTGTTGTTAATACGTTTTTAAATCTCTTGATATTCAACAATTTACTAAAATAAGATATTTGAATTTAAAGTTATTTTGATTAAGAAAATGTATATGTTTAGTTTTAAGAGAATCAAAGACATCAAATTCAGCAACAAATCCACCACCACTACATCCTATAGCAAAAATGAGTTTGTTAAATGTACCAAAAAACAGTAGTAATTCTGCAGATAGCATTAAAATAACCGAGAATCCCGATTCAGCAGTGATCACCCCAATTCCAAAGAAAGACGATAGTAACCTTCCAGAGAAACGAAAAAAAACTATAAGCAATATTTTACGAGGTTCAGGAGAAAAGCGATTAAAAAAACAGAGTTTTTCAAAATCTTCACAAGAATCTAGTGTGGTCGAATTACTGGGCTATACTTTAAATAGTCCAGAATCTGAACATGAAAAAGATAAAAAAAAAGATAAAGAAAGCGACGATGATATTACATTAATAAAAGTTGTTGCTAGTGAGGAAAAAAAAATTAAACGTCCCGTATTACCAGATGATATTAAAATAGAGGTCATTAAAGGATCAAATAGAAAAGAAATTGAAGTAATAGAGAAAGCTGAAAAAATAAATGGTAAACCGAATAATGAGGAAATAAAGGAGCAAAATCTTACACATCAAAATGATTCCAATTTTGATGCAACTAAAGTTTTGGACTGGAAAGATGGTGTTGGTTCATTACCTGGCAGCACATTAAAGGTAATTGAAATATAGTAAACATAAATACTTAATGAATTATATTTATTAGTTATGTTGGAGTTATATTAGTTAGAATTTATATTTAAAATATAATTATATTTTATTAATGAAATTCTACTTTTATGTTTAAGTTTTGCATGAATGAGTTTGGTTTAATGGAAGTTGTAGATGAAGATGAAAATAAACAGGATAAAGACGGAAATATTGGTGATAAAGAAAACGTATGCTTTACCCAAAATTCTTCTAAGTCTAGTACTCCAACAATAATTAATGAAAAGAAACCAGAAGATAAAAAAACGCGAACTGTTTCAGCAGATACATTTTATTGTTGTGATGGCTGTGGTTGTCATGGACTAGCTTCAGAATTTGAAAGTCCAAATTCTTGCAGTCCATCATGTACAGAATATATTGAAGCAATGAAACAGCAAAAATTACGAAAAGAGAAAGAAATAAAGTAAGTTTTTGTTTCTAAGTATAATATAATATTATACATACAAATTATAAAAAATATTCAATCATTATAAATGAAAATTAAAAAATTGATATTATAAAATAATGATGTCTTAAATTGAATATTTTAAATAGTAACAAAATTATATTTCTTTTTATACTAAATTTATGACTTCTATATACATACATACATGCATACATACATATATATATATATATACACGTAATATAATTATATATAAAATATCATTTCTTTTTAATTTATTACGTCTATGAATTTTTATTAATTATAAATGCTTTGACCGAAGTGGAAACAAAATAATTTAAAAAACGATTCATATTTAATTTATATGAATATATTTACTTGCTTTCATCTTAAAATTTTCGGAATTAAATTATTATAAACTTATAATTTAAACAAAACTGAATAGTGATTTAAATATTCAAATAATGTTAGTTAAAATTTATAAAATAGTATAAATAATTTGAAATACTTGAATTTTTATATATCCGAATCTTTTATCTCATTACATGATTTTTATTATATAGTAAAGAGATGCGAGCTAAAAAGAAACGCAAAAAAATGCTTCAAGAACAACAAGCAAAAGATCGAGATAAAAATAAAGATACAAATTCGAAATCAAATGATTTTGATGATAAATCAAAAGATAGTGAGGATAAGTTTGACAAATTACAAGATAGAGTAAAATCTGAAACTGATGAAGATACAAAGGACACGAATATTACTATAATGGATGAAGAAAGTCAAGGAGAATCTGAATCTAAAGTATGTTACTTTAAATTCTGAATCTCAAGTTCATATTTCGATTCCTATTTATATTTATATTAAATAAATATATTTTATTCTTATAGCAATATCCATGGCAAACTGGGAAACTTGGATTTTCATGGTCAAAATATCTTGAGCACACTAAAACTAAAGCAGCACCAGTTAAATTATTTAAGGATGCTTTTCCATACAGTAAAAATAATTTCAAAGTAGGTATGAAATTAGAAGGTATTGATCCAAATCATCCCTCCCACTATTGTGTCTTAACAGTTGCAGAAGTTGTTGGTAAATATAAAGAAAATACTGCATTAAAATATAAAATATTTGTGTTATATATATATACGTTTTTTTATAGGTTACCGAATAAGATTACATTTTGATGGTTATCCGGAAAACTTTGATTTTTGGGTAAATTCTGATAGTATGGATATTTTTCCTGTTGGATGGGCTGAGAAGAATGGACATAAATTACAACCTCCTAAGGGATATGTGCAAAACAATTTTAGTTGGAATGCTTATCTTAAAATTTGTAAGGCTACAGCTGTACCAAAGACTCTTTTTTCAAACAAAAATGTAAGTTTAATATTCAAAAAAATGATTAAATTTTATAGTTTATAACTAAAAATATGAAACTATTTTTGATTTTGAATATAATGAAAAATCTATAATGACTTTATTTTATTTATAAATAATTTTATGCATGATACGATTTGTATACAAACTCTATATAAAATTTTTTTATTTTTAGTCTATGCTTCCTACTGGCTTTCGTGTTGGTATGAAACTTGAGGCTGTTGATCGTAAGCATTCATCCTTAGTATGTGTAGCAAGTGTATCAGATGTGATGGATTCAAGAATACTTGTACATTTTGATTCTTGGGATGATGTATATGATTACTGGGCTGATGTTAGTTCTCCTTATATACATCCAATTGGGTGGTGCCATCATAATGGCCGTAGCTTAACGCCACCAAATTGTAAGAGTTCAACATTAATTAGATATAAGGAAATATGTCAAAGTACAGTTTTATATTTTAATACTATTATATTTATAAGATATATTTATTTGTTCAAATACTTCCTATTTAATTTCATATGCTTTATTTATAAACATTTATTTTTCAAAAAATAATGTTTAAAATAAAAACAAAATATATAATATTAAATTAGAAATAATTCTTTTAGATTATAAAGATCCCAAATCTTTTTCATGGGATGCATATTTACGTGGTACTCAGTCCGTTGCCGCACCCGCAAGAGCTTTTAAACAACGACCACCATGCGGATTCAAACGAGGAATGAAACTAGAAGTAGTTGATAAGCGATTACCACAATTAATTCGGGTGGCAACTGTAGAAGATGTAAAAGATCATATGTATGTTATACATTAATATTAAATATTATATTACACCTTACAGCATATTAATTCAATATAAAACTGTGTTCTTTTTATCTGAGAAATATAAAATGCCATTTTTTAGGTTAAAAATCAGATTTGATGGATGGCCAGAAAATCACGCATATTGGGTTGACGACGATTCGACAGACATTCATCCAATGGGATGGTGTTCAAAAACTGGGCACCCATTGGAACCTCCAATAAGTAAGTAATTATTAAGCTAGAATTTATATTAAAATTTGTTAATAGTAATACATTTAAATAAATTTTATTAGTTTAATTGAATGTACTTTATAAATTATATTTTCATTTATATAAATTAAAATTTGATTATTAATCACATATACATACATTATTATAGATTATAATCTATAAAATTGATATATTATAAATTTTTTAGCTCAAGATAATTTAAATGATCGTGCTGAATGTGGAACTTTTGGTTGTCGAGGTATTGGACATGTAAAAGGACCAAAATTTGCGACACATAATTCTGCATCGGGATGCCCATATTCAACACAAAATTTGAATAAGATTAAAACTATTACAGATAGACTAAGTTTAAAACATGAAGTGAATGATTTTGATGAGGATTTTGCAGTAGACAAACCAAAATATGAAAAATCTGAAAAAATAAAAATGGAACGATCGGAAAAACGAATTTCATCTTTTGAAGACAAATCGATAAAAATTGAAAATATTAAACAAGAAGATGGAGATTCGTCTGATAAAAATGAACGATTAGATAACTCTGAAAGGTATTCCAACATTATTTTATGAAAATATCTAACAAAAAAAAATTCCTGTATTAATCATAAATGAATATTTCCGATCTCTTTTAGACTTAGTAATAAGTGGCGAAATAATAGTGACGGCCAAACGGATGATGATGAGATCATTAAAAAACGAAAAAAGCGGTATGTACTATGATGAAGCACTGAGTATAGTATTTCATTTATTTTTATTTTATTTTTATTTCGACTATTTTACCATAATAATTTAATTATTATTTACCAGATATTAATTAGATTTACCATCTATTTTAATTCAGAATCTGTAGAATTTGTATAATTATAGTGTTATATAGAGAATTAAAAAATTTTATATGTATTTTAATTAAAAAATATATTAAACAGGTTGTAAAATAACTGAATGTGAGATTTTAGAATTAATATCTTTTTGTGATTTATATTATTTTAGAAAACTTGTTAACGAAGAATCAAGTCTTCTGTCGATGCTGAATTCAAACCATGATACTTCAGCAACGCAATTGCCTTATGCTTCAAACATACCCGATAAACAATTACGAATGGAACTTTATCATTCCGTTTATAATCCAGGATATAATCCTTTGCCAGATGCACCTCATATTTGGGCAAAACACAGCAATGCTTTGAACAGAGTAGTAGCAAAGCAAAATACAAATCCTCGTCGTTGGTCTAACGAAGAAGTCATTAAATTTATTCAAAGTATACCAAATTGTAAAGAAATTGGAAGTATTTTTAGAAAACACGTAAGTTTAATTCATTTACTGTTTTTATATGTTTTATACAATAAAAATAATATCAAAAATTAATTTCGATCATTTTTAAAAATAACATTAAAAAAGATAAAGAAAAAGATTGAATAACTTTTGATTTTAATAAACTTACATTAGATAGGTTTTGTTTTTTTTATTTACATTATTTTTGTATTTATTTATAGAATATTGATGGCGAAGCATTTTTAATGTTGACACAAGAAGATTTGGTGTCATTACTTAGTTTAAGACTTGGTCCAGCAATAAAACTGTATAATAGTATTGTTTTATTACGAAAAAGGGCAACGTGAAAATCTTTCAGTCAAAACTACAAAAATAAATATAATGAAAATGAAAAAAGTGAAGTTTATTGAACATTAATAAATGTTCCTTTATTTTATTTTGTGATGTATCAAAAAAACATTCGTTTTTTTGTTAAAGGGTTTCTCATAATCCCTTTTATGAAGACAAAAATATGTGAATCAATGCTCAATTAATGGGCATCATTGACTTTGTTATAATAAGACTACATATACGTAAGACGTGTACTTACGCCTTCGCTTAAAATCCCTTTTTTTAATGGCGAGAGCACATACAATCATGTACAAATGTAAATATGTTATATCTAATTATTATTATTAAAATATTGTAATACGATGAGCTTATTTTTATTACAATTTATTATTATTATTATTATTATTATTATTATTTAATTTTTTACAAGTTGCACATTTTATTTATACAAAAAGTAAATATATTATGAAAATTTAAGTTATAACATTAACCGTTTTTTTATTTTTAAAATTATTTATTTTTTTTAAATTAGATATTTTAATACAGCTAATTGTCCATAAATATGATCAAAACTTATATAAATAAAATAAATTGAAGGAATGAAAGTATTTGCTTTACAAAATACATTTTTAAAGTATTAGAAAGTAAACCGAATAAGTATTGTTTAATCTATTCATAATGAATGAAATTTTTGCGAAATGTTTTAATATTAGGATATTTAAAAACTTTCAATGACGCTTATAAATAATTATATAAGCATTCTTAATTCTAAAAATTAAACTAAAATTCTTTATTAGATTTCTTATTTGAATTATAACATCGTTACTGTAATTATTTTATTTTTGTTTAAATTATACATTCATTTGTCTGTTTCAAATAATAAAAATATTTAAATTAACTGACAGAAATATTTATATCTTTATCAATTTTAATATTTTTATAAATATTTGAAAAATAAAATGACTAGAATTTTTTAAGTTCTTTATTTCATAATAAATTTTTTTTATTTCGTGTTTATCAAATTGTACATATTTGATAATTCCTTGCAAAAGTGATATTTTTTATCAAGAATTTATATTTTATTAATTCAATTAAAGTAAAATATAAATTTAGTATTGATAAAATGATATCTAAATAAAAAATATTTTCACTATATTTAATATCCTACTTTAATCCAAATATCAAAATTTATTTGAGTTCTTAGTTAACAAATGCGAAAAATTTATATGTTCTTTTTTTATTTTTACCCAATAATAGATAGAAAAATAATTATTACATTCAAGCTATTTTATTCAAACTAAGAATTTTTTATGAATAAGTTTTATATAAATAAAGTGAAATTATGTTTTATCTAATATTTGCATTAATTTTGTATATTGAAATTTATATCTGAAATTTATGTTATGTCTATTGAATTGATATTGTCACATGATTTTGAGATTTTTACTGAAACAGAAATATGTCTATTAAATCATTGATAGTTCATTTGTGATATAAACAGAATGAAGGTATGTATATGCTACACATATAATATATACACAATCATGTTTCTGAATATTGTATAAAAATATATAAAACTAATGTTTGTGTAGAACTAATAATATTTTAATTTATTATAAATGGTAACATGACAAACTAAATATTTGTTTTTTTTTGTTCTAGGTATTTTTCAAATTATTTATTAACTTTATCTCAATCAAAAGAACTCTTAAATTGTTTATTATAATTTATAAAATATAAGATTTTAAAACTTTTACATTTAGTAAAAATAAAATGTATATTTTTCGTATCATAACATAATATAATCTAAGAAAAAATATCAAGTTATTGAAAAAAATATTTAAGAAATTAAAAGTTTTTTCTCAAATTATTTTTTAAAATAAATATTTTCATACATAATATCAGTTTGCAATGTTGCAAAGCTTAATATCATATAACTATTTTAATATAATATGCAGTGTTTTCAACAAAATTTAAATTGGTTTGAACGTTATTCCGAAAAAATAGAATCATACTTTAATACAACTATTAGAATAATACTATTTGAATTAACCAATACAGTTTTTTAAGTTCATTTTCAAGTTTATAAAAATAATTTATATAATTGATTAAGTTATTAATAAAGAAATGTTATCATAACAAAATTATACTTATTTAAGTATAAAATCAAGATTCATCGAAAATTATAATGAAAATGTGTCACATCAAATTTAGCCGTATTAAAACAACTTTAGTTTAACAAAATTTTTAATTATATATATATATATATATATATATATTTTTTTATATGGAAATAAATAATTTTAATATTTATAATGTGTAAAAATTTTTAATGCGTGTATACATAACATCTGGATTTATAAAGTAAATCTTCTGGTAATTTAATGTGATAAGATAAATAGAAAAGTTTACGATGCGTGATTCCGGTGTTGAAACTTAGGCTTATTTATCAATACAACGATTTTCAATATGCAGATACATTGCATATTGATGCGTCATTCAATGTATAAATATAAATTTTTATTTCACTCTTTTTTTTGACTCTTGAAATTTACAATATATTACTCTTGAAATGAAAATAAAAAACAACTAAACAGTAGTAAATATACAGCTAACTTAAATAAACTTATTATATTTGTGTGATATTTTTATTTTTATATGTATATATATTTACTATTTATTCATAGCATTAATGTGGTAAATATGTTTGCAGTATTTTGATCCACTATAGATTCATTAATTATATTTTGCAAAATGCAATAATAAGAATGAATGTATATTGATAAAAAAATTAATCTAAATAAGGATTAGTATTACGAATCTAGGTAGAGGCCAATGAATAAATAGAAAATGAAAAATTAATAATGTATTACGTGTATAATCAATGAAATTTTAATTATTGCTAATAATAGTTTAAGCAGCATGATACAAAGTTTAAAAATAATGTACATTATTTTTCAAAGATATTGCTTAAATTATTCTATATTAACTGATGAATACAAGTTGGTTGAATTTAATGAGCACCAGTTCTCTCTCTTGGCTTCGAAAAAAAAAAAGATAAGAAAGATTTTGGGACAGATATATATTAATATTATGCTTATGTATATAAGAAATATTATGTATAACATATGTATATATGTCTTTTGAAGTATAAAACTATATACAAATATTTTCGAACTTTTTATGTTCAAATGTTAACAAATAAAGCGTTTTTCTAAAAATTACTTATTTTCTATTTCGTTTTTTAAAATCTTCCACAACTTTTTGTTTAATTGATTAATTATTTCAATTCAAATGATTTATCATTTATGAACAATATATTCAATTATAAATAAATAAATAAATAAATAAATAAATATATATATATATATATATATATATATATATATATATATATACGATATCAATATCGTATTTTTATCAAGTTCTTTTGATTATCAAAAGATGATTTATTAATTAAAATGCTAAATAGCCAAGATCCGCCGCAAATAAGAAAAATGGATTTTTAATTTGAAAGCCCATCATTTCCATTTGGCTTAATTCCTATTTCAAATTAAAAAATTTTCTTAGACAATTTAGACGATCAGAGCTGTAAAGACTTTTTAATGTTAAGGAAGTAATGATCCTAAGTTATTGTTGGTGCCTTGAATACTTTTAGCATATTTGTAAATGAATGGCCGCTATGAAGTATCACAACTAATTGTATGATATTGTGTGATGTGATAAACCAAAAAACACAACTTGAAAGGGCGCGCGAGATTTAGAGGCGCTCAGCTTCAATCATCAAAGCCTCCACTTTAAAGATCAAGAAACAAAATGTATCACGATAAGAAGCCAGGCATGTGCGCACAAAGCGTGAAATGGAAAAAATGTAGCATCGAACGTCTTTTTAAGCGTGCATACATATTGAGAAGGGGCTGATCAAGACGAAGTCGATAGTGCCTGGAGAATCGGGCTCCGTAATTCTCTCTTGGCACTCCCCACCATTCACCTGCTGGCGATCCTTTTCAACCTTCCCTCTCGCTCCCTCCGGTGGCGCATCGCGCGTGTCCCCTTACACTCCTTCCATCGGCCCAAGCTCTCGCGCGGTGCACCGCTCCAGTAATCAGCATTGCCCCGCGCACGCCGGCTTCGTATATTTACGTTGGTGGCGCGCGCGCCCGCGCGCGGACAA